TAATATACAGTACACCTTTAAATTAGAAAAAATGGAAGTACTAAATAGCTATTTTTTGGCTAAAAATACGTATTTGGTTATTGAACAAGTGTAATATGTTTTCCATGAAAAATGCACGTACTTTTACGTACATTTTCATAAAGTATGGAATTCAAGTATTTAATTTAAAAATACTTACCAGTATAATTATTATTTGTAAAATTGCTTGTTATAAAATCTTAACATATCATGTGTTATAGTGTTTCGAACAATATTTTTATAAAATGACAGATACGCGAGTCAATTCAGTTAGTTAAACATGTTTAAATAGTTCCACAAACACGATCTACATTGTCACCCTTGAACGAACATTGATTTTTGTTGATTCAAGTTTAAATAAAATAAAAAATAAATAAATTGGCACTAAATATCTTGTAGATCTGAACGGACGAGTTCTATTTCTTTCTTCTTTATATTATGCAGCTTTCTTTTTTGTTTTTATTTTTTCTCTCTTGGATCCTCAAGTTAAAAAAAAAAAAAGAAAAAAAAAAGAGATTATGGCCATCAAACACTATAATAATATGTCATCAACTCTATTAATTGATAAATCACATGTCAGCCTTGATTAGTATAACTTTGTTTCTTTATATTAAAAGACTAACAATCTAACCATGCTATGTAACTGGTCGAAGAAAGAAAATGTAGCAAACCAACAAGGTATTATTTTATTGAGTAACTAATACCAATTCACATGGAAATTATTAGTCATTTTTAATAAGTATATAGAGCTTTTTTTTATAATATTAATTGATATGATTATCTTTTAAACATTTGACGTGTTCAATTAAAAAATTACGTCTTTTTCTCATATGGCCTTCTACTAATAATGTTTATTTTTAATCGTTAGATATAATTAAAATTATATTAAAAAAATATGTAAAATAAACAGTTTTGAGATAGACTCCGTTCTTTTCACTGATTTAAGTTTAGAATTCGAGTTTTGTTACAGTAAAAAGCTCTCATTAAAAAAATATGTAAAATAAACAATTTTGAGATAGACTCCGTTCTTTTCATTGATTTAAGTTTAGAATTCGAGTTTTGTTACAGTAAAAAGCTCTCAGAAATAGTCACATCTAACTTTTTTATTACAGTAAAAAGTTATCACATAACATCACATCTCAACTCAAATTAAAAATTCAAATTAACGAACCAAACAGGCCATTAAAGACTAAAAAAAAAAGACATTTTGATAGTACCAAAAAAATCTCCTAAAAGTTAAGATAAACGTTGAGAACCTTAGTATTATTTTATTTTATTTTATCCATACCGTGTGGAGTAGTGACGACCGTGCGATCTGGGTTTCAATGTGTCCTTCCCAGAAATGCAAGAGTCAAGACAAAAGAAGATGCATATGAAAAGTCTATTTATGGAGAATCATTGGACAAAGCAATTTTGGCTCTTCTTTTTTTTTTCTTTTTTTTTTTTTTTAATTTTCTTTTCCAGGTTGGAAAAACTGGGACACTGTATCTACCTCAGCAAATGTTGTTCCCTCCTTAGCTTTTTTATTATTCTTATTCTTATTATGTTTTTTTTTTTTTTTCCTTCTTTATTTCTATGTCAAGCAAAGTTGGTCTGAGATTACAACCATCTTTATTAGTTTCACAATAAGTGTTTGTTTGAATATTTTTCACAAATGTCCAATTATTGACTTGGTGAGATCCAGGTTGTCTTCCACCTGCATAGGCTCAAGATGCGGTTTGGAATCTGGCAAATCAATGTTGGCTTAAAAGTCTAATTTCCATTCCTATGGATAAGAATTGTCCTAAAAGATGTTCCAATGTCTCCTCTTTCTTCTTTTAAGCTTCAAAAGAAAGTATATGCTTATACAGAAGTAGAATTTAGAGTGAAAAAAGAACAGGATGTGAAGGAATAAAAACTTTCCTTGTGTTTAATTGAAATTCAATATAAGAATTTAATGTACATTATATACACATTTTTTAATTATACAAATATTCAACGATATTTTCCTAATCGCACAAAAGTTACCTTTAATATGGCACAACTACCCTAATTTTATATTAATAAAAACAAGATTATAACAGAAAGAAAATATAAATACATGAAGACACAAGATTTATAAAGGTTAGTTCAATGTAAGAATACACCCTCTTTCAATTGTTACAACAATTCAATATGATGAACAATTTTATAAGAGATGTCTGCACGCCTCACAATATTTTATGGTTTGTCTAACATCTCTAATAAACCTTATTAATGGCTCCCTCCGTTAAAAAAAAAAAAAAAAAAAAAAAAAAAAAAAAACCCCAAAATGAATAACTAGGCTTTGTATAAGGCAATTTTCTTTTGTAAAAAGAATAAACATTTTTAGGTAAGGACACACTCTTAATATGGGTAAAAGTATTAAATTCAATGGAATCAAATTTGCTAGTTTTAAAATTAGACCAATCTACATCCTCGAAAAAAACAAGAAGACCAATCTACAGATATCTCTGCCTTTTGTATTCATCTTTTTTTTTTTTCTTTGGTAGATATTTGCAACAGGCAATACTCTACGATGGACCATAGCCATGTCTAGCCCCCCTTTCCTTCTCTGATTGGTTTTTTTTTTTTTTTTTTTTTTTTGAATTAATTAATTTATTTTTCATTTATCGTTTTATGGCTTTAACAATTCATGCATATCCACGAACCATTATATGTCATGCTGATGTTAACGTTTTCATTATTCTTCTCATGGGACCATGGTGTCAGCAAGATATTAAATGGCATGTCGTTTTCACTTCCATTCTTTTAGTTCTTTTATTGCACAAGATCAGATTGTTAGGCAGGAAAGTGAGAAGCGTTGGACTTTCCCAGGTAAAGAGAGAAAACTAGGCACATGCATTCTGTACCAGATGACAAAAAGACAAATTCAACAAGCTTATGGACATAAATTCCGTTGGTAGAGAGAGAGAGAGAGAGAGAATAATATGATGCACAAGATTAATGCTAAAATGATTAGATTTTCTTTATGCTTTCAAAAATTGGTGACTGATTACAAGTGGTTCCTCAGAAGTCATCTCAATCTTAATAGCACTATAAGAGGGAGAAAAAAAAAAATCAAAATCTAATATCACCAATATAAGCCAATGACAAAGGGATTGCCAAACTTTCAACTGTCCATATGTAGACAATTCTAAATCTTTGATGTAAAAAGAGAGAAAATCTGGATGCAAATGCTTTTCTTAAAGATCACAGTAGTAAACATACTTTATTTACGAAAGATTTCAAAGAGCATATATTAAGCAAGTAAGATGGTAATTTGAAATAGGAATGCTATTAAGTTCCCTAGTACAGACAAATAATAAAGTCGAATGTGGTAGATTGGTGGGAATGACAAAACGATAAACAGATCAAAATTGGAGAAATCATTTTTATGAAGCCATTTTTGAGACTTAATGAACACATGGAAAGATCTGACTCAGCGGTAAAGTTCAAATTTGTAAAAATCCTTTTATGCACAAATCTTATATTACAGCAAATTGCCTTGATCCATAGGTAACTTGTATGACATGAAAGTTTAGTGCAGCGCAATATCATCAGGTGAGATTCAAAACAACTATTAGATTGAAAAAAAAAAAAAAATCACAAGATTTTGAAGATTTCATAATTGGTACAATAATTAATTGATCATATCCAATTCATGTCCGTAAATATATATATATAAAAAAAAAAAAAAGCAAAAGAAAAAGTAGTATCCATGTGGACAAATAGAAAGCCCTTGGCAGATAGCTAAGAACACCACTTTTAGATTGACCACCACAGCTATAACTACACAAGTCAATTAGAATAGAATCTCAGCAGCTGAAAGGCAGTAGAAGATTTTTTTGGGATACAAGACATTCATTTATAATTCAGCTTGAAAGTTGTAGCTGCAAAGGCTTCTTCATTTACTCTTTGCTTGGTTCCAACTAAAGCATTGCGTTGTAAATACTAAATATCAAACTTCATTTATGTTTGGCAAAGGCTCACTCAACTCAAGAACAGTATCATGTAACAGGTTTTTGTCTCATAGCGGTTCTTATGAAGAACAGAAGATGTTGGGTTGACATTCTTCCTAGCTTAAAGTATGAATTGAAAAGATATGAGTTGTAGTGACCTGGTTTAGAAAATCTATACCTGAATAGTGTACTACATACATGATAACTACATGGCAAATACAAGTTTAAGCAGATCCTAAACAAGAACAAACCACAATAGAACTTTGTAGGTGGAAGAATATGTCAAAAACTATGACGAGAAATGGAGGTAAAAGACGATTATTATGGTTAAAGATGAGTAAAGCATGCATAAATGGGATTTCTCAGAAAATTGTTTGAAGAATTAATAATATCATCTACCTGATGTTCTGAACTTCAGATTTCAGACAGTTGAAAGGAAAACAAACTCTTCGTCGTTCCACTTCATTTACAAGAATTTGAAGGAGAGATAGAATGTATAACTTTTCAGAAAAATTCAAATTCGAGATTAACATCTTGACTTGTTTTTTCATTGCCCATTGAGCACTAATTAACAAGCGTTAAATTTATGCACAACAGTCCTGAAAGTTTGTACAGATATAGGTAAGCTGCAATAAAAAAAGATGAATAGTAATGTATGCTATTTAAGTAGCCAATGGGATGTTAGATAAATCTTAACCCATAACAGATTTATATAATTTTTAACCACAGTGTCGTGCTTGAAAAGAGTCAAAAGATGATAAAATGTGAGTTCTTCAAGTTCAGTGCCCCCCTTCAAATTCTAAGATTAAGAAGCAAGCATGAGTGGAATAAGATCAATCATCACACGACAAATAAGAGATTTACACAAATGAAATCTCTGGTTGAAAAGAGTTGTTGGACGCTTAATCTAATTCCCCAATAAAACAAATATGTGGAATCATCCAACTAACAAGAAAGCTTTCACAGAAAACACAGCGACTTTCATATTCATGTAGTATGTCCAACATTCTAATGAAATCAGAATTATCTTAACAAATCCACTCATAATGAGGGATTTTAAGTCTTTTGAAAAGAGTTACAATGTACAACAAGTACAACTCACCTCTACATAATGCTAAACTAAGAAACACGAGGCACTACTCATCGACAGAAGATACTCTCGGATAACCAGAATAAACTAAGTATCGAAAGTGCCGTAAAGGGTTATTAACCCCATGTCTAGATTTTGAGAGAAAATAAAAAAAGATTTGCCAGCTTTATTTATCCTCTTCTGCAAGCTCAAAATTAGTCAATGTGTTTGCTTCAGCCACTCCCTATCATTAATCCCCCAATTGAAAGACCTTCCCAAGCAAGAAGTAGACTCCGAAATGAAAGAAGAACCATCCAATTCCCAACATAACAACGTGATAATCCAATCTCCAATGAACCCAAATTGACCAATTATCATGACTCTCTATCACTATAGCCGCCGTAGACGAGTTCAGAAACATCATTGCCGCTCGAGTGACATCATGTTCAAATTTCAGCCACACCGAAGCAGACAAGGGACTCACTCATATAGACTGCTACCAACAATTTAATTACACATAGTAGAAGTCCATAAACACAGAAAAAAGATTTTACCACAATGGAAAAACTAAACCACCAATATCAATCCTAATCACTCTTAAACATACCCAACTGGCAGGATAATGTTCAAGTGTAATACCCGAAATTATTGGATCCGGAAATTGAAACTCAGATCTGATTTCTACCACCAAGATTACTACTAAGACCAACTAAAATAACAATGACAACTAACACCAATTCCACAATGACCCCTAGAACCGAATTGAACAAAAGAGCAAGAAAAGAACAACTCTAAGATGAAGCAGGCACAATTAACCATTACCCGGATAATTCAATCCTCCCCAGTTGGAAATAAAGTAAGAACCTTCCTCCCGCCCCCCGCGGCGCCATTACCCGACTCCAAGTCCTCCACATATCCGTTATGCACCGGCGCGCCCATCCGGTGAACCGCTTGCCCCTGTCTTCCAAGAAACGGGTGCTCGAATTGCCCGTTCGCTGCAGCCACCGCCGCCGGAGGTGACCCAAAATGCGCCACTTGCCTATGATGGTACTGGCCCTGAATCTGCGGGTGGCCCCCCGCGGCTGCAACCGCAGCTGCCATATGCTGCTGGTGGTGGTGGTGGTGCTGCAGCGCCGCCACGGGCACGTAAGGCAGGAAATGTTCCGAATTCGGCCTTCCCGCCGCAGCTGCAGCAGGGTGGAGAAAATGTGCCGGCACGGGGGAGCTAGCGAACAAATGATCGGTGGCGGGATCCGCTCCGCCGCCCAATCCAGCGGCCCCGGCTCCTCCCGCTCCCCCGCCACCGCCTCCGCCGGATAATCCCTGCATTCTCTTGAGATACAGGCGGTACTTCTGCAAATGGCTGGCGACGTTCTCTCGGGTCAACCCGTCCACACTCATAAGCTGCATTATGGTCTTGGGAACGGCGTTCTTGATCCCCAGGTGGGCCACGGCATCGACGAACCGCTTGTGGAGCTGCGGGGTCCACACGAGGCGGGGCCGCTTGAGGGTCCGGGCCGGCTCCTCCCCGGGGCCTCCGCCGGAGCCCAAATCGGCGGAGTCTCCAAAGTCGGAGGAGTTGGGCTGGGCCGTGACGGAGGAAGGAGGCTGCAGAGGGCTTGACGACGGCGGGGGAGGGTGCTGCTGGTGGGCCTGGGCCGGGCCTCGAGGTGGGCTTGTGTTATTGTTGTTGTTGTTGGAGTTAGAATTGGGGTTTCTGATGTCGAAAGCCATGGCGAGATCAGGGGTTATTAGGGTTTGGGATAAGGGCATGAGTTCTTCTGGAGATGGGAGCTCTTCTTCCCATCGGGCGAACCAATTGGAGTCGTCTTCTCTCATCGTTTTTTTCGTTTTTTTTTTTTGTTTTTGTTTTTTTTTTTGCAATCTGGGACTGACCCAATTCAGTATCCCTTTCTCTCTCCTCAGTTCAGGTTAATATTTGTTGAAAACAGAATGATTTGTGAATTGGGTAGTGATGAAATTATGAAATAGATGATTTTTGGTGCAATGGAAGAAAGAGAGAGAGAGAGAGAAGAACAAAGATGGGATTTTTTCCCCTTTATTTTGGCGTAGAAAAGAGAATCTAAGAGAGAGATAATATTGTTTCTTTCTCTCTCTAGAATTGGTAGGAGGAGAGAGAGAGAGGTAGTGGTGGTGGTGGCGGCGGCAGCGATGGAATTTGGGGTTGTCGGAGGGTATGGGGGTTGAGTTGGAGAGGGGTTCGAGGTGGATCTTGTTTTTCTTTTCTTTTCAGAAAAGCTTTTATTATGGGCTACTACTGTTTGCTGATTCTTTTCTTATGATTTTTATGGGAAGTGAATGTATGTAAGAGAGATTGAGAGAGAGAAATTTCAGATTTCAGATTTTCTATTTTCTAATTTTCTAATTTCTATATATTTTATTTTTGCTTATTTTTTTCCGGGATTTGGGGGTCTTATACTTGAGAGTGAGTGTTGCAAGATCTATGAGATTCTTATCCTTCCCACGTTTCTCGGTAGCGCGTGTCTACCACGCTCCTACTTCTCTAGGGAGGAGAGTGTCATTTCGCCCAGGCGGTCTAGTTTGCAACCATTTTCGTCGGCATCCAAAACACTGTCAAAATTTTTCTTGGGTTTGTAAGCTTTAAGGACAAGGGCACCTAAGATGGTGGTGCGTTGATAACACGCGCGTGGATGTCGCGTTTAGGTGGCGACTTGCTCAAATAGTCATTACAAGGTAGATGGGTCGTACGGGTACAGAGTTTGGGATTGGGAAAGGATGAGAGAGAGAGTGCAAAGTTTGGTCGCTTTGTGAGAGTTCCTTTGGATTGGTGATGAGGAATCAACTGAGTTAGTGTTTCGGCCGTGAAGATTACTTATTTTATCCTTGTCTTCTTTTGCTTGGAGAGGAATAATTTTTCTCTCTCTCAATACCCAAATGTTTCAAAAAAAAAAAATGGCATTACTGACTCCAAGTTCGGGATCCTTTTGCACCCTTTTTGATTTTGAAGCATTTTTTTTTTTTAGTTGGGCGAGAAAGCATTCATTTATTAGAAGTAGAATTTGTGAAAAAGAATGTGCAACTCTATGGGCTGACACGTGGGTAAATAAGAATTTTCAAAAATGAAAAGGCAAAGAATCTTTACCCACAAATAAAAAAGTAGGGATCCAAATGAAAGAAAAGAATTGTCTAAAGAAGAACATGACATGCTTTTGAGTCCGAAAACATGTATTTAGGCCATTGAGTTGTGGATTTTTTTGGCATTCCTTTCGGCAGAAAATCAAGGGATGTTCAATTTCCTATTTTTGGCCCAAGGGAAATTGGCAATGGCACGTACATTTATTGCTTCCACAAATTGCTTGCTTTTGTTGGGCACAATGAAGAGACCAATAAGCATCAATCGCTATCAATATCAAAAATAAAACATGTGATTACGCATTTTCTTTTTCCCCTTTTTTAACTTGAAAGTTGAAACATCCATTTTGGTTCTCCGGTATTATCCTTCTTTTATTTTCCTTCCCCTTTTCTATGCTAAAAAAAAAAAGTATTCTTTTTCGTTCTTTTTCCTCCAAAGCAGAGTAATAATGATTGAAATAGCTGCATTAGTTTAAAAATAAAAAATACGTTTCCTAGTGGCACATTGTTGTGACTTTGTGAGAGATAAAAGTCTATCATTCAAGACTTTTATTCAGCTTAATGGTCACAATACGTTTTAAAAGATCTCACGACAAAGGAAAAGAAACAAAGACTATTCGCCAAGATGAACTTCTATAAGACTACAACATACCCTTTTCGTTGAATTTATTTTAATTACCCAATTTCAACGAAAAATCCTTCACTCTCAATATGAGGACAAATAAAGGATGATCCTTATCCTCTAAAACTAGCTATTTTCAACGCAACGGGATATAATCTCCTATTATAAATTTTTTCCCAGTACAGGATTACTTGATATATACAGATCTATATATAACTATATCTCTATTATATTTTAATTAAGGGTTTCTTGCAATGTCTCGAAGCTTTTCTTCTGTTTTTTCCTTATGCTCCCTTCAGCTGCAAGTATAAATTTAAGTAAAATTAATAATAATAATTGAAGAAGTTGGAAATCTTTAATTATATGTAATGTAAGAAATAAGATTTAGAAGTAGTTATATTATCTGGTTGTAGGATGTTTTTTGAAAGATTATGTTGTTTTCGATTAAGAGCTGAAATGATAAAAAATTGTTAAGATATGTTTCGACATAGTAAATTATGTTTTTTATTGATAACTAATATAAGTTAGTAAATATGTTTTACTTTGTACTTAATCTTTTTTGGTCCGGTGCTTTTAGATGTCCGATGATGAAATCATTGTTCGTCCATAATCTGAAAATTCTTGTTATGATGGTTGCATATACTTCTTTTGGTTTTAGTGTACGAATCAGTATTGTCATTTTGTCTAGTTCTCAAAAGTAATAAATAATTGTTTAGTATATGAATGAATAATTTTATTGGATATATATATATATATCTAATTTACTGATATTATATTTTTTTTTATGTCATACTCTATATTTTTATGTAATATTGTGTACACTTTTTTTGTAGACAATATTTTTAATTTGGTTTGGATATTTATTAATTGAATTATGAATTAGTATGTGTAATCCTTTTGGGGTTGTTGCTCTAGATAAAGCAACATATAATTGATCATATGTAAACATTTCATTTTCAAAATATAACCCAAGTTTATTCAAAAATTGTCCTTGACTTTTATTTATTGTCATTGCATAACAAGTTTTTACAGGAAATTGTCGTCTTTTTAGTGCAAATGGCCATTTAGATTCATCTACAATCATTTCTATTCTTACAATATAAACTTTTCCATTAGTATTATTTGAGCTTATGATTTGTCCTTCTATAATTTTATTTGTCAATTGTGTAATAATAAGTCTTGTTCCATTACATAGTCAAATAGATTGATTTAGATTTCTTAATAACATTATAGGAGTTCCAAGTTTAAGGTTTAATTCATGTGTTGGTATGCCATTAAAGCTTAGAGTGTGTAGAAAATATTGCGGATATAAGAGATTAAGTTCATCTATGTTTTAGATGAAGATGCAATTGTGTCATAACTATAGTATGATTTTAATTCACCAGCTACTAAAGATAGTATGTAATTATTAATATCATCATATGATTTATTTTTGGGAGTTATTATTGCTCGTTGTTTTAAATATTTAATGTTGCTAAAATAATTGTCGAAATCATTATATATCAATGTTGAAATTTTTTTGAATTGGATTTGATTCATAATGTATTATGTATTTTTCTGGTATTTTGATCCATGTAGCATTTTCATTTTCTGAGTCTTTTATTCCTTCGGCAGTACCATTTCCAGCAGTAAGTATCCAATTTGTAAATTCTGTAACTTCTCTTTTTTCTTCTTCTGTAATATTATAATGTTTTAATCGCATAATTCTGTTAATGTTAAAATTCAAAAATGTGGCCATAAATAGTAATTATTTATAGTTGCATCTATTATGTGTTCTTTTGTTCTGGTAGGGATGATTGGTAAAATTTGTCTAAAATCACCACCTAGAACAACAGTCATTCCACCAAATGGTTGGTTAAAATTTTTTCTCAAATCTTGAAGTATTTTATCTAATGCTTCAAAGCAATATTTATTAGTCATATGTGCTTCATCCCATAATATGAGTGATGTTTTTTCGATTAATTTTACTAGTTGAGTTCCTTTTTTGATATGACATGTAGAAAATTTATCTGTTGATAGTAGTATTCGAAATATAGAGTGTGTAGTTCTTCCTTTAGGTAATAATAACGATGATATTCTGAAAGATACAACAACAAGGATTATTTCATTATTTGATCTGATTTTTGTGATGATTGCATTCCATAAATATGTTTTTCCAGTTCCACTATGATCATAAATGAAAAAAAAGATTGTATTTTCCTTCATTAAGCGATTTTAAAATTTGCTCATAAATAAATTGTTGTTCATTGTTTAAATTTTGTACTAATATTAAATTTTTATCTTTTAATTTATTTATATTATAATTGAGTTCTTCTCTTAGGAGTTCATTATTTAGATAATCTATTAGCGATCCAGTAGGAAGAGGTAAATTATAATATGTTAAAGTGGACGAATTTAGATTTAATAATTTTTCTAGTTCATATACTACAAAATTGTATAATTCAATTTTAGGTATTTGAAACTTTGGGTTATTGAATGAGGTCTTAATTTTATCTAAGATATCATCTGTCATAAGTGTCCAATGTTTTTCAAATAATTTTATTGGGTTATTTACATTGCAAAATAATAAGATTGTGACAAATAATTGTCATAATTGAAGTGTTGTTGATCAGAATGAACCTTTTAAGATTGATTCATCCCATTCTTTATCATCTCTCTATAAGCCAAGTGCATAGCATGCTTTTTAGTTTGTTGGATATGTTATGCTATCAATTGTCCAAAGAGCTTCATAAATTGTTATTCCTTTTCGATGATTTAGTAATAATTTTAAACAGTATAATTCTCCAGAACTTGAATGCACATGAAAAGTTCATCCGATTGTATGGCTTGCTTGTCTAGGAGACCAATATTTATAATTGCCATTCCAAACATATTTACTTAGAAATTCGATGTAAGTTAGTTCTCTAACATTGATGTCGTATTTGGTTGTCTTATTATGTTATTAAGTTGTTGATTTGAGTGAAATGTTATGTTTTACATTTTGACAAATGTATTGACAGCCGTTGAATAGCTAGATTTCTATGATGTATGGAATATTCATATAATCGCCACATTGCTTCGTATGGTATTATGTATCTGCAATTAATATAATTTTTTATTTCATTGACTTCTTGATACGTAGTTTCTCTAGATTCTTATGTACATATGTTATCTTCTATGACTGTCCTTATTCTATCTGGTCCTTTTGTTAAGTATTTAAATAAATATTTTATAAGTATGGATTGAGAACAAATTTCTACATTGATATGAGCATGAAATTTTAGACATAATTCTCTATTGTAAGGAACTATAAATCTATTGTTTAATTTGATACCTTTTTTTGACATAAAAGACTGTATTTTTTCTTTTGTAATTGACAAATTCATTTTTTTCAATAGTTACTTCATTTCTTAAATGCTTTGAAATTTTTTTTTTGAGCATCTTGAATTTTCCATGCATAGAGCATTTGTTTTAGCAATTCCACATGGTCCATGCATCATAAACTCAGCTACAACATTATATTCTAAAGGATTATTTGTCAGGATCAGGTATTTCTAGAGAGATGAATTTGTCTATTTGTGATGGTTCACGTAGCTTTTCATCAAGGTGTAGTGAAAATAAGAAATGACA